CCCTCTGGTAGTCTGTAATATTGCCTGTGGATGCGAATGTCATGGCCGAGGAAGTTGGCAAGTATGTCCATCTCATTCTCTTTCATATTGAGAACTGTAGACATAGTAGCTATGTGCTTTCTAAGTTTGGTTGAGGATAGCATCTCTGGATGCACCGCACCACATTCTTTGGCTACCTGGCGTAGGGAGTCTGATCCCCTGATGTGGGTGTCTGCGCCCGGGCGGGAAAAGAAGTATGGGTTATGGTCAGAGATGGAACAGGCCCTTCTGTTCTCCACCAGCACCTCCATCGAAGCAATCATTTCAGGAGTCAAAAGAACCGGCACTTTCCGACTTCTTTTCCCTTTAATTTCAATGCGTTGAAAATGCTGACACAGCTTTTTCTCAAGTTGGGACAGTCCCAGAGCAATGTCAGAATGGATCCCAGTCTTACTTCTTAAGGTAAAGGCTGTCAGTGGCATCTTTGAAACCTCACCTTCCCTTCTTCGATTGAAAATGATGACCTCACAAAGAGTCAAAACTGCCAGTTTAGACCAATGCTTAGACGTTGGCTCACTTATTAGGGTTTGCACATATTCAGGTCGACATACCTCAATATGTGCATGCATGGCTCTAACGTCCTCAGTCAGAGGGAGCAGGTCCGGAGTGTTCCACTTGGCTTGCCGGAGGGTCTGTAGGGCAGCAGAAGAAACACAGACGTCCCACCTCTTCTCAAAAAGCAGCCGGCTTCGTTGGAGGTATTTAATAAATAGTTCATCAACACAATGCTCCATTTTTGAGTCACATTCAAGAATATCTGCTAGCTTTCTGAGGCTATGGCCGAGTTTGAGGGCCAAGGATGGAGTCTTGTATTGATTTGTTTCCTCATCATATCCAGCCACAGACCTGACTGCATCAATCACATGGTTAAAGTTGGAAGGAATAAAGAAATCCTTAATTGTTTTCAGTTTCCCTGCGGTTTTTGCTTCGTTAATTAACCTACCGACTTCTCTCATTTTCTGCCTAATGTAATCATGCTTAGTCTTATCATGCCCGTGTTTTAAGTACAGGTGCTCTCCGAGTCTCAGAATCCCCTTTTCTGCTTTGACAACACCCGTGACCTCATCCTGATGCATTGCCGAAATTAAAGACCACAGCTTTTTGCTGATGCCCTCCGGTACAGGCTGGGCTAGGGAGCAGAGGGACTGGACCCTACTTCTACCTGGTTTAGCCTGGGCATCTTTCTGTGAAAGCCGGCACCTGGCCACATGCCTCCACAGCGACTTTCGCTTAAGCAATGCCCCACAGTCTATACAGTGCAAAAACTCACTGGATTTAACTGGGGAATTTGGCTGTTTAGCTGGGACTAAAGTTCCAATGCCGGCCTTTAAAACCTCAAAATTGTGCTCACGGTTTCCACTATTCCTGATCAAATCAAACTGAAGTTTACGTGCTTTAGACTTCACAGGTAGAGCCAATGCTCTGGCTACGTCACTTTCATTTCCATGTTTTCTAGTCAAATGACGGGACATTTTGTGGCAGGACATTGAACAGTAGAGGCAGAAGTGTCTCTTGCTGTAAACCCTGCCCCCATTTTTCTTCTTTTGCAGCTGCATGATAACAATCTTATTTGCCTTTGGTTCGTCACTTTCCGAGTCTTGAAGAAAAGTGTTTTTGATTTTTCTTTTTCCATACTTTTTTACAGGTTTCTTCTTGACAGTTAAATCGTCAGAATCTGAGTCGACTTCATCAATTAGGGACTCTTGACTAAGCTGCACAAACAACAAATAATTTGTAATCATTCTATATAACAATTTGAAGTCATGACTTGTAGTCAGCACTTACCAGTGGTTTGTAAGCGTGCGCTTCAGTGTGCTCCTCCATGATTTCTTGCAGCCTAATGAACCACACACTTGCACCTTTTTCTAGCCTGACACCTGATTTCCTCTGTTGTGCTGCTCCATGATTGGCTCCAGCCTGCTGGACTGAAATTGCCCCAGTGTGCCCCTCCTTGATATCCCGCAACCCACCACCAGGGTTCCGACACATAACACACTTTTTTCAGGAAAGTAAACCTCCAGGGGTCTTTTCCATATTTTTACAGAGACTGCATAAGGACCGTTAGAAAAGCATTACCCATTGATTATTAAGCTTGGACCAGTGGGGTCCGGTGTTCGGGCCCCACCACGTAAAACCAGTCCCCATGACGTGAGTGGAATCTCAGGTTATGGAACCCACCAGGAGTTGAAAACAAGTGCACGCACACACACACACACACACACACGCACACACGCACACACGCACACACGCATACACACATTCACACATACACAACAGTCCACCGCTCGGACTCGGAGCACAGGTAGGAATCCTTCTTTGTGCTCTGAATTACATCTCCACAACATAAACAGAGAACAAAGACATATAAGCTGGGAGCTATTACAGCTTTTGAAATCCGTCAAAATGCTCGGATCAACCTGACAAAGAGCATCAAGGAGAGGTCGACAAATAAATGTACTTTTTGTCCATGTTTAGAAAGCTGTCAACTCTGTTCTCCTGTAGGCTGTTCTCTGCCCTTCTGTGAATGAATACCAAATGTGTAAAAAGAATGCCTCAATTGCTACTGTGCAATACCATAATGCTTTGTGGTCTCGGGGGCGGGTCTAATTGTCAATCTAATGGACACAATCTAAAACTGTCATAAAAAAATATAATATTAGCTTCCATTAACACTCTGAGATTCAACAAAAACAAAGCTTCAAAAGATCTGTTCCTTATTTTTTTATTTTGAAAAGTCAAACAGGGAAAACACATCCTGTTGATTTAAGAGGTGCAGTTTTGCAAACGACCAACGGATGTCGATCATTAATGTTTTTATGCACCTGTCCTTGTTCTACAACCTGAGTCCTGCACCGTGTGGCTTTGGTTCTCGTTTTGTAGCTTGAGTTTTGGATCTATAGCCCGTGCATCCGTAGGAGCGGAATCCTCTGTCAATGTGGTTCTCCCTGAGGTTTCTCACTGGGTTTTTGAGTTTTTCTTTGCCGATGCAGGAGGGTCTGTTAGACTGTTTGAGGTCTAACAAAAAGGAGCGTGGTGATAATGCAGGACACTCAACATTCAACAACATTTATGGACATTAATCAATTCCCCGCTATGTTTGAATAGTTGGATTCTCTGATCTGTGTTGGCGATTTCAACTACTGTTGTGATTTAGGGCTATACAAGAATACATTTAATTGAATTATTGCGCATTGAAAACACAAGGCCGTGGTCAAAAATGTTCCCATGATTCTTGAGGTTTCAAACTTGCCGTAGGATTCCTATTTAGCCTTCTCATCGGGACCCTCACGCTTACACAATTCCCACTGTAGATTTACAGTTTGGGACTTTACTGAATTTGGAATTAGAAAATTGCAAATGGAGATTTCCCAGTGTGAGGCCAACAAATTGTGATACATTTCCCCCCCAGATTGCTCAAACCTGATAATCTGTACCAATTTAGATACCCCATAGATAAAAATCTTATGTTATTTTTTGGAAACAAGCTGTGATTTTTTTACCTAAAAATATATATACAGTGCCTTGCGAAAGTATTCGGCCCCCTTGAACCTTTCAACATTTTGCCACATTTCAGGCTTCAAACATAAAGATATAAAATTTTAATTTTTTGTCATGAATCAACAACAAGTGGGACACAATCGTGGAGTGGAACGAAATTTATTGGATAATTTAAACTTTTTTAACAAATCAAAAACTGAAAAGTGGGGCATGCAATATTATTCGGCCCCTTTACTTTCAGTGAAGCAAACTCACTCCAGAAGTTCAGTGAGGATCTTTGAATGATCCAATGTTGTCCTAAATGACTGATGATGATAAATAGAATGCACCTGTGTGTAATCAAGTCTCCGTATAAATGCACCTGCTCTTTGATAGTCTCAGGGTTCTGTTTAAAGCGCAGAGAGAACCATGAAGACAAAGGAACACACCAGGCAGGTCCGAGATACTGTTGTGGAGAAGTTTAAAGCCGGATTTGGATACAAAAAGATTTCCCAAGCGTTAAACATCTCAAGGAGCACTGTGCAAGCAATTATATTGAAATGGAAGGAGTATCAGACCACTGCAATTCTACCAAGACCCGGTCATCCCTCCAAACTTTCATCTCAAACAAGGAGAAGACTGATCAGAGATGCAGCCAAGAGGCCCATGATCACTCTGGATGAACTGCAGATAACTACAGCTGAGGTGGGGATGGTGTGTTCAGGGTGATGAGCTGTGTTGCTTTTACGCCAAACGTATCGTTTTGCCTTGTGGCCAAAAAGTTAGATTTTGGTTTCATCTGACCAGAGCACCTTCTTCCACATGTTTGGTGTGTCTCCCAGGTGGCTTGTGGCGAACTTTAAGAGACTTTATATGGATATCTTTGACTTGATTACACACAGGTGCATTCTATTTATCATCATCAGTCATTTAGGACAACATTGGATCATTCAAAGATCCTCACTGAACTTCTGGAGTGAGTTTGCTGCACTGAAAGTAAAGGGGCCGAATAATATTGCACGTCCCACTTTTCAGTTTTTTATTTGTTAAAAAAGTTTAAATTATCCAATAAATTTCGTTCCACTTCACGATTGTGTCCCACTTGTTGTTGATTCATGACAAAAAATTAAAATTTTATATCTTTATGTTTGAAGCCTGAAATGTGGCGAAATGTTGAAAGGTTCAAGGTTCAAGGCACTGTAGCTATTAGTAGTAATAGCTGAATTATCTTTATTATCATTATCTAATATCTTGTTTGATGTACGCATAACCTAAGTGCCCATATGAACTCCTTTGCTGTAATGTACGCAACAATGACAATGAAATGTCAAAAGTGATCTTATCTCATAACATTATAATGGTTGCACAAGATTACAACAAGTAAAACATCTTCAGAATATCACATTTTTATTATGATTTCATATCTGATATTCTGAACTTTTGTCAACCTATTATCGCTATAGACGGCACACAGTGGCCCAGTAATGTCTGGGGCAAAGGTTTGTCTCATATTTATTCTACAAAAACACCGTTTGGTTGTCTTTGACTATTTCCCCGTCTACTTTAAATTGGCCTACCTCTGTCTGGTATGTCTTTGCTAATTAAAGCTAAATTATTGATATTCTGGTGAATTATTCAGTAGGGATAATGAGAAATAGACATTGGTAAACACAAGCAGAGTTTGGAGAAGTGCAGTACCACGTCCATCCTTCCTACCCTCCCCATCAGTGCGAGCCCTATGTCTGTCCTTGAATCTTTCCATCCTCCTTCCCTCTCCTCCGCTCCTACCTGCTCCCCTCACGTCTCCTTTACTTTTCTTGCCGCACCCAGCCTCCGACTCCCCTTCTTCCTGTTGCTATGACATTAGCTCGCTGTAGCCTTGTCAGCCCAGTCTTGAGGGAAGAGAGTATGGAGCTAAGTCTTGCTCTTTCCATTTAATTACTCCTCCCTCTCTGCCCCCTCCCCAGACAACTCCACCAGTCCACCTCCTCTCAATGTAACAGTGTATTTTCCACCTGGTGTTACCTGCGTGTTTCTCTTCTCCGCTCTTTCGCAGGGATTTCACATCGAACACCCACACGTCTCTTATGAAACCGCTCTCTCTGCATGTCTCTATGCCTTCACCTCCGCCCCGTCTCCCCCTCATTTCCCCCCCATGTGTTACTCGGGTAAAAATGGTGCTTTGGTGGGTGTATCCACAGTGAAGGTACGGCGGCTGCGCATTGGCCTAGGCTTGACCTTGATCACCACAGGGACGGTGCGCCTCCTCATTATCGGCGGACTGCAGGAAAGCGTCTGTAATGAGGGAGCCCAACTGTCCTCGGGGACTCAGACGCACGCACGCATACCCACACAGATGCCAAGGCACTTCATATTAGCACCCATGCACCTGCTGACACCTGTGCTTATGCAAGAACTTCACAGCGGCACACAGCGGCGCGCTCTCGGGGCCCCCCACGCCGCTGTCGGCCTCACCTTCTGTTTGTGTTTCTTCTGTTCTTCCCACGCACGCACAGATGCCCACCTCCCCCCCACCCCTTCTGATGCTGCCCACCACACAGACCTTAGGACCTCACTGCCCACTGACACTGCAAATACGGCACAGACTTCCCAGCGGTGCCCTCTGCTGGCCGTGCACTCAGACCAAACTCATGCCATGGATCAGTCTTCGGTCTTCGAAGTTATGTTAGAGGATTGTTTTAAAAAGCTGTTCTGCTCTGATTTTCTTCTGAATCTTTCTTTTTTTTTTTTTTTTTTTGTCATTTGCATTTCATATATCAGTTTTCTATTTTTTGCCTTTTTAATTGTATTAAAGATGGCAGAATACAAATACAAGAAATAAAATCTTACATAACATACATAACAACACACAAACCCAAGTCCAGACTGGTCAGAAACAACCAAAATGTAACCTAAAAAAACGGCTGTGATTCCCACCAAGAGAACCCTTTGCAGAGCTTTGTAAAGTCCACACCGAGAAAAAAAGTGATTCGGGAGAAGGACCAGGGGAGAACCTCAGGGCACCAGGCGAGACATGAGGGTGGACAGATCATCGGCCTCCATCTCCACATGGTCTGGGCACTCACAGACCATGTGGAAGCAGGCCCCAATGGCATAAGGTACAAGTCGGACAGTCAACTTTGTACAAAGCTCAGAGGACTCTGTTGGTGGTCCACTCTGGATGCAGCAATACAGAGTACAGTGTCCTAAACAAAACAAGTGAAGTTCAAAACTTTTACAGTGACATGACTTTTTGGTATTTTTGTCAATACATTTTAACCTTATGGATATTCATTTTCTGTTGCTAGTTTCAGAAGTGGGGCAACATTGGCTCAGTTGGTATGCAGTGGCCTTTGGGCCTGAAGGTGAAGGTCGTGGGTTTGAGCCCACCATGAGACCTTCTTCACGACTACACTTAACCCCACTTTACCTGAAGCCCCCGCTTCAATAAAATAATAAAACACAAGCTCATCATGAGCTTGTGTTTTATTGCTTTTTATGTATTGAGATATAAAGCGATATAAAAAGCAGTTTTCAGCATGATTTATACAGTTTCAAATTTAATATTTTTTACAAAATTCCTGTTGCTTTTTGACCAACATGATGTAATTTAACCGCTGTATTGCATAAACCTGACTCCTCCAAATCTTGAAGTCAAAACAAAGCTCTGTTGAAAATGTCCTCTTCAGCCTGTTAAGTACTTCTCCAGGCCCACACTGGTGACGCCGGTTTGTTTTGGTAAAAATATGAAGAGAATTTTCCAGCATGTTTAATAGACAGTAATAGTTTCTGGATTAGCTCAGAGTCAAACATGTGGAGTGAGCGGAGCCTGACGTCAGCTCTGAGCTGGAGGTTTTGGCCTCTGCAGCTCACCTCAGGCAGGCTCTGGGTCTGGGACTGAGCCTGAGCCTTCCATTGCATTTACAAATAACACACTTCAATATATTCATATGGCCTGTCCCTTTTGTGTGGTGATTATGACCAATTCGTGGACTCAGTGATCTTGGTCTTGAAAAAAATAGTGAGTGTTCTCAGATTTAAAACAGTTTTGTGTAAAGTGGGAAGCAAGTATCTTCTATTATGATTTCAATGAGAAATTCCTTGTTTTACAAAGTTCTTTAAACTTCCCATTTACACATTGTGAAATTATTTCTCTGTGCCAGAATCTAGAGCCAAGTTGAGTAGAGCAAAGGGCCAGGCTGGAAGAAATTGCACTTTAAACAGTTCAAGACCTACTCTAAAGTACCGGACATATAGTACTAAGAACGGCTCAAGGTTTGATGCTTTATTTATCTGAAAAAAGAAAAAAAACCTTTTCAGAAATGGCATGATAACACTAGGTAAACACAGTATGCTCGCTCAAAACAGACATTGCAAGAACATCTTTAATGACTTTTACCATATCAAAACATTGTTTCCTCATCAAAAACACAAAAATGGCCTTGAGTTGATTTAGGATCCATCCACGCTATTATCAGGACCCCCGGCTCAAACATGTGACTCCTTTTCTGTGTATCTGTCTCAATTCAACTTTGAAACTCAGGCTGAAACTCGGGCTGGGTCACTGGTCCCTGAGTTGGCGTCACTGTGACATTGTCAGATTGTGATTGTGATGAAAGAGAGGCTGTGTTTTATATCACACAAGATGAGATGGTTTTCTTCTACTAATTCTGTTTGAATTTTTTCCACAAAAGCTTTACCTGAGCATCGTAGATTGTGTCTTTTACAAGCACTTTCTGTGATAAGGAACAATATAATTGCTCCTGTATTCCTCTTGTCACACAATCCAGGTACATTTTCGTATTGCGTGCGTGTGTGTCATCACCATCACCAGCTCCTCATGAACTCTCTGATTTTGGGTCGGAAGATTACGTATATATCTCTGAGTTTCCAAGATCACATGGAAGTGGCGTTAGTATGATGTCATTGTACTATCAGGCTCAGAGCAGTTTCCTGCCTTTCAAAACATAAACTAGTGCCCATAATTTTCCAGGGTGAAAACACCTTCTTTGCAATCACATGGCTGTGTTTGCAGCTGGTCATTTTCATAAAACAAATTTTTCGACCCCTTCTGGTTGTAGCACAAGGATAAAGCAGACTGAGAGCATTTTCAATCCTTGAGACTTGTTTCACCATGAATTCTTTACTTAAGATAGTAATTAAGCATGACATGGCAAAGTAACAAGTCTCATTATTAGTCTTAAAGCAGAAAATAATGCATAATATTTCTGCTTTATTCTTTAAAAGGATTTGCTCTTGTCGAACCCTCACATGTACAAACTCTGCAGCCATCGTCACATGCAGGAGCATCCATTTTCACGTCCCACGTCTCCCCCAGCCTCACTATAACAGGGGAGCTGCTGTTGCAATCAGTACGGACTAGGAAACCTCAGTTTCTAATTTGCTGCTGTTTGTGAGCCTGATAGAATAAAGAGATGTGTGAATAGATGTAAACGTGTAAAAATAGGAGACACTGAGGGGACCTGGGAATCTACAAATGGTGTAGCAACGCTACATTTGTTTTCATAATATTAAGCAAAGGTGCACGAGGAAACATTAAGTGACATCTCATATGTGTGAAGGAAGGAGGAGAGGAGAATAGATTTTCTTCAGTTGTGTTTAACAGTCTAGTGTTCATCATATATATGTCATCACTAGGACCTTTTATTCATTTTATATGTCTTGAATTGTGATTAACTTCAACTTTAATCTGTTTGGTCTTTGTAGTACTGGACCTTGAGCCAAATACATTTCTATGGATGCATTTACATTTGCACAATTACCTTGTGAAGATTGGTATTGAGACTTAATCTGACAACAATTAGGATTGGACCATCCTGAATTTGGACTCCAAAACTACCAAAAAAAGAGATAGTATTTACATTGAATCTATGGTACAACAGTTAAATAAGCCAGGTATAATAATAGTCATAGTAACCCTAAAGCTGTACCATGTGTTTTGGTTCCCCATTCCTGCTATAAAAAGAGTGGGTAAATAATCAACGGACCATTGTCTGATCACTGGCTCCTCTGGGACCTGTGCTAAAGCCTGTGGGTGGGTCAAAAGGGTGAAGAGCACAGGCCAACACCCAATTAAATTCAGCGTCTGATTGGCTGAAGCATTCTCAGCAAATGCGCACTCATTGGCCGTCACATGGAGCAGTCAGCGGCGCAGGGAGCAGGTGAGGGGAGGGTCCCGGCTCAGCTCTGTTGCTAGGTTACAGGTGTACCCAATAGATGTGCAGATAGGGAGATGGAGTAGAGATAAAGAAGGGGATGGGTGTGGACGCCAGCGACGTGTTATGTGATTGTCAGCTGCAGCAGGGAGGGGTCCAGTGCTGCAGGTCAGCCGGGCCACAAGACAGAAAGAGCCATGTCTAGAGCCAAACAGATGAGCTGAGGCAAAAGTGGATTTATACAGGCAATGCTTTGACTTTGGAGGGATTTAGGGTTCTCTAAGCTTAGACCAGACGTGCTCAAAATGTTGTAATGGAATTGCTTTACAGACTCATACAACTGCCAGTTCTGGTTTTGTCTTTAAATGCTCTATCTATTCCGACTGGTTGAGTCACTGATTCGTTGTGAAATCTAGTCCTGGTTTAGCTCAGTTACGCTTCAATTCTTATTAAATTTTATTTTGTTCAGGGACTTGTTTATTTGAACAGTTAAGTGCAGCAGTCATGTCTGTCACAGCGAGTCCCTGCTGAAACACATGTACACATGTCGGACGTGCCTAAATGCCACGCACTCACAGGTTTTAATTATGAAGGCCTTGTTCCCAGAGCAGAGCTTGTTGTGTGTAATTCATTTGGGTGCAGTTGTATTAATCACGCACTGCCTCCGACATAGCTACTCCTGATAACAGCTGTTCCGCTGCACTTAGATTGCAATAATAGAGCGGTCAGTTGCCACTAATCGTGGTCATTTATCAATCTGCAGAACACACACACAGTGAGCTGATCGATGGCCTGACCCGGCCCAAACAGGGATTGATGGCTGTTTGGCTGGACTTGAGTGTCGGCTAGGTCCAGACCTATATGGATTTTTTGGGCTGATAGAATATCTTCCTCATCTCCCCATCCATCCATATTGTGGTATAAGGCTGGGCGATATGGCTGAAACCTATATCACAATATAAGTAATTCATATCGGTCGATAACGATATATATTGATTATTATTTTTTTATTTATTTTACCTGAATAGATACGTTTGTCGTGTGGGCTAACACACGTTAGCAGCCTTGTTTACAGTCACGGGGGAATGCGGCTAGAAGAATATGTTCACAAGCAGTCTCCCCCATAGTTAGTCCTGGTGTAATCCTGGTTTAGTCCTGTTTTGTGTCCCCATGACGGTTCATCAAGTTCATCTCTTGCTTTCGCAGCATGCATCGGGTCTCCATGTCCACTGCCTCTCCCGCGCCGCACATGCTATGCCTTGCACGGACATGCATAACCATTGACACGGCATTGAAAAACAATCTTAGATCCATGGACGCTACGCATGGTGCGGTTGTTGTTTTGCATTTCCCAGAAAGTTTTGCAGTTCATACTCAGCTGTGATAGGTTGAGAAGTCTCTGCCTACATCCCCCAGAATGCTGCGCGCTTGTGACTCGGCTTTACTTCCGGTGTTTTCTTCCTGTTTTTTCTTATGGAGTGAAGTTAAACTATCAAACATTCTATCGACCCCGTTTTCTATTGATATTGAACACATTTCTATCGCAATATCGCTATCGTTTTATCGCCCAGCCCAGCGGTGTATGATCTGGAGAAGTGATACCATGTGTGACTCTTTACTCTCTGTTGAGGGTTTGACCTGATGTCAATCAGATCTATCAAACTGACCAGTTTTGTGAACAACAGCTGCTTGGTGACACAAAATAAGGGCTTTCCGCGCTAACAGTCTGATTAGAAGAAAAGGAATATAAACTTTTTTAATTTGAAAAAGGCAGAATAGGTAAAATCCTCTCATTACAGTCATAATCCTTTGTAATGCATCTCTTATATTGTGCACCTGTTTGAGTATTCCCTCATTTACATTCAGTAGAATTGGGATTTGTGAGGCTTAGACAAACACAGTGCCTTAAAGGCATGCACTTCCTCAGAGAAAGCCCTCGGTGCTCTGCCCTGAGGCCTGTTCGCACAGCTCACGATAGTGCTTTGGCACTGTCAGTAATTGTACCCACATGGGCACAGTCTGACTCAAACCTGCTCTTCATTCACTCATGCTTCCCTTCCATCATTTCAATATTTCTGTCGTCACAGTTCTTAAATTTTCCCTCAATGCAGTAATAAAGCAGTGTAACCCCTCATTCATCCAGAAGTGATCTGTTGTTGAGAAAGTTTCAAAAGTCACTGTAAAGATTTATAAATTGTATTATCATTTAGCAAATCTGAAAGTAGATAGGGATTCAACAACACGCTGAGACGATCACTTTGGTACAATTCAGATGGTTTGTTGGAGGAAACACAGTAGGTCTCAAGAAAAGCACCGTATAATGAGTCCATATTCTTTTTTGTAATGTATTGTATTTTGTATTCTTGAGGTCTTTACTCCGCCTCATTTCTTCCTCTGATTTGGTTTCTTCTGAACCAGACCAACACCACCCTGTGCTACTACTTCTATGTGGCGCCAATATTTGGAGTTTGCATGTTCTTCCTGTGGCTGTCTATTTCCCCTCCCACTGAAGCACGACCTGAATATTTTGTTTAAGAATCCTGTCACTTCTTCTGGGTTGGGGTTTGGATCCTAATGGCTTGTACAGTATGTCAGGCGTGTCCGTGTGAAACAAAAGCTCAGGAGCAGAGAGAGACGTGGTTCTGTCTGTGGTGAGGGAATGTCACTGCCAATGTGCTGCCACTGCTCTGCCCTGAACCACACTTTCCACATCCACCGCTGTCAGGGCTCGGAGCAGGTTTGTTTGTGTTCAAAATGGTTCTAAAGTTTGCAAATCCGTTAATTTCTTCAACTGGTCGTTTTTCTAACACTTTGGTCTGCACTTGCTTTGACCAAAGACTCACAAATGCAAAACAAAAATATCCAATTATATAATACCACACCTGGAAATGTATTAGATTCTCGACATTGGTACTCGACATTGGAACCATTGGTCAACCATCTCCCTATGGACCAATGGCTGCTCTCTGTTTGATTTTTGCATTTCCTGTGTTCGAACTGTGAAATACATTTAATTGGCAAAGTTAGTAGACTCATGATCACGCTGAAGCATTAACTTTTCCAAAGGTCAATTAAATTAAAGTTGTTTTGAGGGTCAAAAAAAAATCCATGACATTCTGTTTTTTGGATTTGTTACTGAATGTGTAACATTAAGACGTCAACAACATAAGAATGAATGAATTAATCTTTTTGTTCAGATTACCTTTATAATTTGCAAATGTGGGACATGCTTTTGCATCAAACTTTGTCATCCTCAAATAAAGCCACATTTCCAATAGCCCTGCATGGCCCTGCTCTGTACTCGCTTGGCCCTATCCAGGTCGAACTGGTACTAAAGTGTCCAGCTAGCGATAGGCCAGAGTGCTGCTAGAAGATATAGTTACCACGGAATTCCCCCGAATACTTGATTATTGTGGGTAGGTTTCCAGGATTCGGTACCAGAGACTTAATCTTGATGGTCATACTTGCATGCAAAGACTTCTGAAGCTGTGCAGGACAGGGTCTGGTTAGTACTGTGATGGGAGACCTCTGGGAACACCAGGTGCCACAGTGGGGCGGCGGCGGCGGCTGTAAAGTGTCTCAACAAGTCAAGACACTTCACTAACATTGCCTAGAATGAGTGTGTGTGTTAATGATTGGTGGTGGTCGGAGATGGCACATACCGGTTGCGTTGTTTCTGTCATAGTGCCCCAGGGACGCTGTGGCTTATCACCACAGTGTATGGAGTGAAACAATTGATTTGATTTGATTTTGATTTTATTCATTTGAGCACAAATTTCACAATCACAAGTATTTACAATAGTTACATTCCTTAGTTTACATGATTCTTTATACATGTTGCCTGCTGTACTTACAGTATATACTTATACATGAAAATATATAAACATAACTATACAATCAAGCAAAAGTAGCTCTAGTTTCACCATGTGATGTATATCTACAATATGACTATCAATATGTATTTACAAATGAACCTCTATTTACAATTTGTCAGCTCGAAATGGAGTGGGAAGGAAGTAAAACATAATTCAAATAGCAAGAATGTTGTTGTTTAGTATTGAATAAATAATACCTTAATAAAAATTTAGGTATAATTGAGATAATAATTAATAATTAATAAACAATGACACGTGAAGCGTCTTTGAGTGTCCCGAAAAGCCCTATATATAAAACCAATTTATTATTATTATTATTATAAACCTGGAGTAGAGGAGAGCCAAGTCGTGCTTATGATTTTCTTTGTTCGTCAACCGGTCCACAGCCAAAAGTCAGTTTGTGGACTTTAGACTTAGTAGTAATAACTAAAACTGTAACTATTTGTATATGTTTTTGTCATTCATAAAAAAATAAAAAATAAACCGTAATGGATGAAATGAGGAGTTGAGCCTATAGCTTTTAGCCCCTGTTATGGCCGATCCTGGAGGCGCAGACGCTGTAGTGAGATCCCAGTGGCCACTTTGCAGATAGTGGTGCAGTATACAGCCACAGACAAGGACACAGCTGACGCGCCTGTGTGGGGGAGCACACTGTATCTTTTATTGGGAGTGACCGTTTTAGAGACCACTCAGTGTAATGAGCAGCGCTGTGGCGAGCATGGGCCTGAAGTGCTAAGTCATCTGCAGCTTAAATCACATTTGGCTCCAGCAGCACACGCACACCCAAAACACAACATGACAAGCTTGTGTAGCAGCTCCAAAGTCGTTAGATTGATATTTTAAGATAAGGTGACTTTTTTTTTCTTTTTTATGATAAGGATATAAATGTTACACTTTCTTCTTCATGCTCGAGTTGGAGATTTTCTATTTTATTTAGTACAGAGTTATTGTTCATTTATCTTGTGCTGTGTGCTACTCATTTATACTGTTCTGTACCTACCATGCAACACTGAAATTTCCCCACTGTGGGACGAATAAAGGTTCTCTTCATCTCTAAATCTTAATCTACCTCATACACTGCAAAAAAGAGCAATAATTAGGTAATAAATGCTTCAATCAAGTCGTTTTTATCTAAATTTGGGTATATTCTGACTTTCTGATATGTTTCTTTATTTTCTCATTCCTAGAGAGACATTTCTTGTATCCTTTTAAAACTGGAAAAAATGTGCTCAAAGTAAGATGTATTTTGCCAAATTTGAGCAATTATTAACTTATTTTCTATCACCTACTGCAGTGTCCCGGGCTGTAGGTCGTCACTAAAACATCATTCTACTATTGCTGCAAAACAGTTATTACATATTATTTCTATTCCATCTGCTCTATGATGCCACTTTAGAACTGAGACATTGCATTCTTTCCGGCCTAAGTCTGAATTAAACAGACCTAAAAAGAGCCGTATGTTCACACCCTATGGTTTATAGAATAACACAGTGCCAAGACGCTTTATTTATCCACAAGTGCAATGTCTTAGCTTTCCAGACACTTCTTCTTTTGGATTTACTCCATAATGAAGCAGGTTTTCACTGCTATAGAGTTACATGGACATATTTGTAAGAGTTTGCAAAAGTAAACAGTTTCATAGTCAAAGCCAATGTATCGTACTGTATTTTGTCATGTGTTTTCCTGCCTTGGGACTACGGATGAAAACTAGCTTTGTAGCTATAATCCGGCATATTTACATTTGTTTTATACTGATGTGTGCATTGTCCCTAGCAAATAATTAATAAATAAATGTCATTAAAGTGGATACACCTCACATCAGGACGGAGACTTCTTGGAGGAGGTTCTTGCTAGATTAATCGGATCAAAGGTTTAGAAATATCCGTATCGGCCTTAACCTCGTTCCTTCCTGTGTGTTGTACCTAATTTAAAAGGTTACTTTCTAAAGAAATCAACCAAATAAATTACTCTACTCTTAACATTTAACCCAAAACATAATTAGTGTCTACATAACTCATCCAACTTTACCTTTGCTTGTGTTCAATTACAATCCAAGCAAAATGGTGTACTTTTGATTTGAAAGAAACCAGAAAAAACATTTCCCAACTAATATTTCATTGAAAATAATCTGTTCAAAATGTCTCCATGAAGTGAAAAAGTAAATACACACACATTTAAGGTGCATTCTCAATTAAGTCTTAATTTAAACCTAACACTAACCCTGTTTAATCAAACGCTAAAGAACATATAAAATCGTCCATCCCTCAGCATCAGCCACAGAAAACCCCTATTATAAGTCTGTCTCTAGTCCTTGCTGTATTTTTCTAAATCCGTCTTTTTAGAAGCAAGTTTGCCTCCTAAATCTGTCCACTCTTTACTCCCTCTGTCAAGAACAACTTTTACAGATGCTTGAAAACGCATTATTTGAGTAGAGATGTTTCCATTCCTTCATTACAGCAAATCCTTAATTTCACAGTGAGAGACGTACTTTATTCTGATGACACCCACACCGTACATCCCGCTCATCCGACTTAATACTCGCTATTTAAGCTTTTCATAAAACAGGCCTTTAAATAATTTGTTAAATGTAAATGATTGCACTCATCCTGCCTGTCCTACATTACCATAATTACTGATCACTCCACTCTATAATTGAATTCAGTCAATGAAATCGGATTAATTGTTTTAAAAGAACATGATTCCAATAAATCCAACAACCCGTGGGTTTTGCCAGAGGTTATAAACATCTTTGTGTGTTTTAAATAGCGTTCCTTTCAGACTGAAATATTAATCTTCTTTTCCCTTTAGCCGTATTAATCCTCACACCAAAACTTGCCTGTGCACAAAGCTCAGTGGGGGAGAATAAAGGTACAATTTACAGCTCATGCGATTAAATAAACTGCTATTAATATTTTCAGTGACGTCCCCCGTGCTCCTAATCTCTCCTCTCGTAAACGTGTGTCTAATTTCCCAAATCGGGATTATACTATTGTGCGCCGTGGATTCGCCAGTGACTCAAAAACGGGTGAATGAATGGAAGGGAAACACAGTCGGAGTGAGTCACTATCAAAGCTATATTTGTGCATGTGGTGTGTGTTCAGTTAGCCCGCAGTAGCCCGGGATCGCAGCCCAGATCAAATACAGGAGTAGTGACACCACATCAAACACACAGGCACACACACACACACACGCACACGCACACACACGCACACACACACACACACAGACGGGCACGTTCTAAGGCCCGGGTTGACTTTGATCCTCACCGCTACATCCGCTGCTCTGTGCCCCCTCTCTCCCCGTCTCTCCGCCTCCAACAGACTCAGGTTACCCCTCTCAGCTCTTCAGAACAGACCGCATTGTGTGTACGTTCAAAGCCGTATAGTAACTGGACTCGAGAGCGTTTTATACTCTGTGCGAGCCCGCGAGCAAGCGCCGCACTCATCAGCATCTCTCCCGGGCCTAGGGCGCCAAACATACTCAATCAACAAACTTCTACACTGCATTTTCCCTCTTGGGTCTCTCCAAAGTGAATTGTCTTTTTTATGAATACTGAAAAGATATACCAAACTCCAAATGCTACAATGTATCTTTAAGAAGTCTGGGATTGACTTGCTTTGTTTTTTCCCCCTACTATGCCAAGTTCAGCAAGAAAATACATGGATAAACTGTCTGAACTTTATTATCTCCATAGATATGTCCATTCGCTTTGCTTGGAAAGTTCCTTGGCTTTGTTCTCTTGACACAAACTTAAATCACTTCCTCCTCTGTGGAGATAGAGAAGAGAACGTCTCTGGAACTTTTCAGGGCAAGTGATATCCCCATGGAGCAAAGCAAAACATTTCAAATATTCTTTATTGTAATCGAAAAGGACATTTTGATTCAGAATTCCCCCTGAATCCAAGTAGCAACATCATTCCCACTTTTTGGGAAGGATAGAATGTGTGTAACTAGTAAATTCCAAACTAAAAATGTACTTTGGTCAAGGTTATGGCAACTCCTAAGAACAAGTGCCACGCTGAAAGATATCTTTGTATAGATGACAAAACAGACTAATGACTACAGCAAGTTTGTAGTATTGGTGCTGTAGTCCAGGTATGAGACAGCCGCCGAGAAAACACCCTGTGGTCATCCATCTGTCTGGGCACGTCTGCGTCCCGGGACACGACAGACTCTGGCAGCATAAACAGTGCAGTCTCCACAGACAGCCCCACCATAGGCCCCTCCCTCCACATCCACATCCACGCGCACAAACAAACGGCCTGCGGAAGAAACACAGAGAGAGCCATCCACCGAGGAAACCATCACAAGACACAAACAGTTCAAACGTGAGCCGTCCAAATGAAAAGCAATCCAGCCTTTTCTATTGCCGCAGCGATTAATTGACAACATTAATAATAAAAGCTTGCACTCTCCACTTAGGATATTGATTAACACCTCTTCAGCTTATGATGCAAGGAACCGATCAATCTCCGTCCTCCCTCGGAGCGCACTCTCTATTACCTTTCTAAATATAACTTCTCTCCTCTCCCGTTTTTAGCCAGGAAATGAGCCTAACATTTAATAAACGAAGGGAGCAGACTTTGCAGAGCTTTCGCGAATGATTGATTGACGATTCATTCATTTCCATCTGGGATATGCAGGTATTTGAATGTTTTGTAACTGTACACACACAAGGCTCAGAGGTAAAGCCTGCGTTTACATTATGTAGTAGGAATAAGAGAAGAGGAGGAACAAGGAAACATCAAATGCCGCGGTGAGATTGCCTACTTGTCTGTCTGCGTCTGTCATTCTGTCGGCGAGCTTAGCATCAAAATCTCATGCACTAAAGCCAGACGACCACAGAACTCAAGCCCACGCTGTCCGCACGCACGCGCCCAAACCACGCACACGCAGCACACTTGGCCCTGTTCTATCCTACGCTATTGATCTGCGCCCCACTCTTCATTAGAAAGGCACATTCAAAGGAACAAACAGGGAGATGGCTGATGTGTCTTATATGTCCGTGCTCGTGTATGATCAAGGGACGACACCTAAGTTTAGTTCATGTATTTATAATTCATACGTTTATTTTTCTCATAGATTGTTGCCGTGGCGGTATCAGGAACAGTTTTACTTGGATGCGGTCTGTCCTTTCTGGGTGTTCCTATGGAAACTCTGTCTCACTGTATATTATTAGGCATTCTCCAGTGAACAGCTCAGAATAGGAGGATGCACCTCTCATCTGCTGCTATGGACTCGACTCAAGCTGTAGACATTATCTGCATGTTCTGGTCTGCGATTGCACTGGTGACTTGTAGAACATCTATTATTGTACCTGCTATACTTCACAGACAAACCAGACACTTATGCACTTTGTAACTTTTCTAATGGAGCGTCTGGCACTGCGCGTCAACATATAAATTGTATTGACATGCCTGGAATGTTCCACGTAGTAGTAAAGTTATATTTCTAGCCTCAAAATGGCTGATTGAAGAGCGGTCGCATCACAATCAACTCAATCAACTTTCATTTGTGGAGCACTTTTCCTTCACAAGGCAACAAAAAGTGCCTCATAACACACACATAAACATTAAAAAATCTAATTTAAAATGATTCAAAACAAACATTAAAGGGTAAATAGGAGGATTTTCCTGATTTTAAGAAATAATCACCCTCTCCACTCTTTGAACAAAACTCTCTGGTCTTATTTGACGAGCATGTATCACCAAAATGATTGACAATTGAGAGGACCAATAGCCTTGATGATCCCTCCGGAAGTAGAAAATCTTTCTATATACCTTAAAGATCACAAGAAATACTAAAAACATAGCCCCTAATCAACAGCCATCACTCATTCGTTACATTCAGACCTATTTTACATGTTTTCAGTGGTAGGGGAGACCCTGAGCACCCAGGGGAAACCTACGCAGACACAGGGAGAACATGCAAACTCTACACAGAAAGGCCTGAAGGTGGAATCAAACCCAGGACCTGTGAAATACAAGCTCTAACCGCAGCACCACCTGGCCACCATATACAGTACATATTCACAATCGGATCTTCAATAGGATGTCCATATTATCATTTTCAACATTGTAATTTCCTGGATATGAACTGAGGCCTCTCTCTTCTTCCCATTTTAGACCAAAACAGTATTTATTTATTTCATTTTACAAGACATTTTTTGTACAAGGTTTGTGCCTGACCGTAATGTCACATGTGTACTGCGTGTTCCACTGCAGCTCAGGCCATAATACTTCTCTTTTATATTCTTTTATGCTTCTTGTTTTGAATGTGTTCAGAGAAATATATTTCTCTAAAAGGGTTGGCCATAGGATCACACAGTCTCCCAACAATACAAAAAAATTGGATTCATCTAATATGTGTGAATTTTGTGTGTCACTCTCAGACCCCACATCATATCCGCTCAGAGGCAAATAAAGCAAAACACCACTCAAATTTTTCCTAGCTTTTTTCTCAAATAATACTTGTTGTTGGTCTCAACAAAAAGAGGAATAAAATAAACATTTGGTGATCAAAACAGACCAGCAACCGAGCATATTTTGTATGAGCCCTGGGACTGTTAATACTTTGGGCTGAGAGCTGATTGGCTGAGCGGTGGGTGGTCTCTCTTTTTTTTCTGTCTGAAAAAGTTGATCAATAGATGTGACAAACATTTTCCCCACTCCCATTTGAGCAGTTTGATTCTCTGATGAGATGACGACTGCTGTTGTGATTTAGGGCTATACAAAAACACATGGAATACAACTAGAGTGAGATGGATTTTTGGCATTTGAAAGTTATGTGCAGCAGCTTTAATATGCAAAATAGATGTCAGAATGTAAGGTGTGGGGTAGATTTCTGCCAGCTCCAAGGGGGCTGTACATGATAAAGGCTGTGATCGCAGTCAACTCATTCACACCAAAACCACATGTCAGCTGCTAATTGTTAAAGATGAAATGTGTCTAAAAACAATGAAGACATGACATTTAACACTGATCCACCAGCGTTTGACAGCGATGACGGACATGGTGGATGCATACCATTAAAACATAATAGGCCAATGGAGCACAACACAGTTAGTGGTTGAGGGGGTCAGGGCATGGAACACACCAGTGAAGAAAATCCATGGAACACATACAATAAGAAATGCTTGTTCTTTTCCCTGATAAAACAATAGACAGCAGTTTATCTTGGATGAAGGTGGATTTAAACAAGTCTTAAAGAAGGACAAGCAGCTGACACAGATGGGTCGGTCAACCTGCTGTTAAGTCGTCCCCTTAGAATCTATCTTGGTTACTGATACATCTGTATAGTTTACCAATGTCTTTGGTTTGATTTGGTGCAGTTGTGGGGTTTTAGATACAACCTCAGTCCATTATTATTATGGAAAACTTAACGCATGAAAAAACAGATTGACCGATGACGTTTTTTCCAAAGTTTGACAAGCCGAAAAACAATCTTTTTTTTACTTTGTTGATGTAGTAAACAGTGTTATTACATCATATTTATTTTAATATTACATAATGCCTTGATTGTTTTTACAAAGAGGAGAGGTTTATGCCAAGTTTTTTCTTTGGCATCTGTGGGCCTTTTTGTGTATCCATGTTTTACATTATGAGTTAAAAAAAAAAGTATGATTTAAAATGAGGTGTGATTTTATATTTTTATCTTTCGTTTGAATGTTCTGTGATTATTTATGATTTTAATGCTATCTTGTTCAGCACTTTGAGTTGTCTTGTGTATGAATTGTGCTATACAAATAAACTTGCCTTGCCTTGCCTTGCCTTGTGATGTGCCATGGTAGCATATTGGCTATTTCAAAAACATAAAATATCTGCCAAATAGTTCTACGAGGACAATTTGTTTTTTGATGGTCCTAAAGTGCATTTAAATTGATGGCTGCATAAGCAGTATTTTTCTATTAACAATAATGATACATATATAGAGTCCATAGGCTGTCAACAGTACCACAGTTCTAGAAGCACAATACTGGAACATATAGACAGTGTGTGTTGGATGAGACCCATATCTAGGCCTCGTGATATTCAATAAAGCAATTAATTGCATGATAATTACACATATCCATCGCCTATCTAGTGTCCTGTGTGTATATGTGTAAAATTGTGAAAATGTATTTATTTATTTTTGTTTATTGTTGTTAATGTGGTTGTTGATTGGGTTTATTATTATAATTATTATTATTCAAGTTTATAACAGACACAAGGTCCAGATAGACACTACAAACATACATAGACCATAGACTGTAAATATTACTGGACGTAGTCACAACTATCTCCACCGTTAAAACTAATTTGCCACTGTGGAGCTTTTGCAATATTTTGGGGGAAAAAAGCATGTGCGCATGCGTTAGCCGGAATGAACCTCATTTATCGAGTGCATTCTGAAGTCCACAGCAGCTAAAAAAAATACTCCCCTCAGCATTGACATGCAAATGGAACATAGCTATGGGCCAAGAACCGACTTTTAAAAAAACTTTTACAGGATGGTCCAAAAGTTTTTAAGAGGAAAGAAGACGCCATACAAAAGCATTGAGTAATTGTCTTTCCAAGTCCACCCCCACAGGCTAGGCGTGAGATTGCAAGCATGACAGCCACGACCCGCCCCCACAGGTTCAGACTGATAGTGCGTGGCACTGATTCTGATTTTGGTCAGACTCAAGATAATCACATTCTGACATTGATTCAGCCGACAAATGTCTAGGTAGACAGATATACTGCTATGCACAATTAAAAAAATTATTGATAAACACAATTTTCCTTCCACAAGGATTAACATAGTATCAATACTTCCATCCTCATACTACACGAACACCGGCTTAATCTCACTTCACCAGAGCCGTGCGGGACCACTGACCTCTGGAGTGGAGGTCCGCGGCCCCCCGGCTCACTGGGGGCTTCTTCACGGCTGATGCCCGATACACGACGTGGGTCCTCCCGCCGCCTGCTGCCTCCTCCTGCACCACCTCCAGCCCTCTCTCCAACGGCTCGATGTAAAACTCCTCCTGCTCTGTCCGGATCATCCCAGCCTGAAACACACATAACACCAGGTCATATAATGAAATAAAACTGAACATTTTCATATGTATGCATTTTAATTTTGGTCTGCTTCAGTGAGGGAATGAAAGAAAGTACACATGTATAAAAATAACGTACTTAAAGGTGAACTGTATGGACCTTTACTGGAGGAGGATCTGCTTTTTGATTGGGTACAAAGGTTCCCTCCTAATATATGATAAAATAACAGAAGCGAGGCAACCAGTATGTGCCATCGGCCCCTCCGACCACCACCAACCATTCACACACACACCAGGCTCATTCTTGGCAATGGGGGTTAAGTGTCTTGCCTAAGGACACAATGGCAGTTTGGCACTTTACAGCCGCAGCTGCCCCACTGTGGCACCTGGTGTTCCCAGAGGTTAAGTGTCATGCCAAGGACACAACTACAACAGATATCACTGGGAGTCGGTAGAGAACCCACGACCTTCAGGCTCAAAGGCCAATGAGCCACTGTCGCCCCAAAAACACACACACACACACACACACACTCAGACAAGACACAGGCCCAAACACTCTCTGACACTACATCTCTAAAGTTGTAATGTTCCACTGTAATGGAATGTAATAAACATTTTCATCTCCATTGAAGAAAACCAAGTGACTTCACAGAGCCAAGTTTCAGGTCATATTTGCATATTTGGTAAGGTACTAAATAGTAAGTTTACTAATGCTGACACTCTGGCTTTTAATATCCGCTGATCCCTGATATGAACCTACAGAACAACTTTGTATGAACAAATATATGACAAATCTAGGCCCGTATGGTCTCATTACATCACTTGAAATGCTCAATCAGTACCGATACAAATACAAGTATCGGGTCGATAGCACAGCACAGAACTGATACTCGAGCCTGACAATGTTCCAATAGCCAGCTGGGACCCGCCCCCAAAACGTTGAAAGTTGTTGTAAATAGTTATAACTTAAAATAAGTGGATGATATGATTCTGTTTTGCATGGGAGACTTACAGATCATTAAATGGTGCTTAACATTCACATGTATAGTTGAGTCCATGGGAATATAAAGCCATGTCTTGACTTGAGTTTTACTCAAAGAGTTGGAGAGCTCACTCAGGGGAACGATGACGGGCTTCTAACAGCTCTTTCGATCACAATATAATGTCCGTATAAGTAATAAATATGCTCTTTAAGCTGCAGGGCAGATGAATGTGTTTTATGGGCTGATAAAAGTGACAGACGTGGCCAGATTGTGGGCTCCTGAGATAGAGAATTTGTTTGGGTTATTGCCTGACAATGGCTGGCACATCCTCCATATGAGAAAAAAAATCAACAGCTTGAATCTTAAATGTATATTCACATTGTTAGGAAATGTTCTGGAAACATCTGTCAAATCAAAAGAAATCTGTGAAGTAAAACTTTAAAAAGAAACATTTTTTTTGTTTTCAGTTTAGGGTAATGAGACGATTAGGAAACAATTCTATTGTGTGTATATTTGGCTTATGCTGTAATGTAGAATTATTTTATGGGAACACATCCAACAACAAAAAAATCCAAAACACAAATGCAAGAGAACAAATATTCACTTTAAATGTACGTTACATTGAGAAGAGAGATGACCATGGAAAGCCATTTAAACATTGTAACACAATTAGGTGTAAAACAATATACTAAATCATGTTTAGGGAGACAATAAGGCCCTCATGCAGCCCTATGCTTCCGTCAAGTCTGTGGCTGTGGTCCTGGGCGGATGGGCGAGCCACTGACCCGACAGCCCACCCCCCTCCTGCCATCATTTCCCAGAGTCGGGGTGCGGCATTCCAATCGCGCTGATGGATCTGATGGTGCATGTGTTCCCGCTCTAGAATACCAAGCAGTGCGGAAGAGGAGGAGAGCGTGTCAAATAAAAAAAGAGAAAAATGACGGGCCAGTATCGATCAAAACAGTGAGAAGGGGAAGAGAGGTGTGAGAGGAGCCACTACTGGACTTCTTTGAACAAAAAAAGAACTGAATAAAGCATCAAAGTGTCTGGTTAGGAGCAGTGTCTTCATCTCCAAGGCTCCATCCAGGGGATTACAGTCTTGTCCAAACACTATGTCCAGATCAAAAGAGTGAAATTCAAATTCACCATCGAAAGGCGTGTGTGCATGTCAAATAAGGAGTTAGAGCAAGACAGAGGGTATGTCCGGTGTAACAAATCCGCGAAACTGCTCAGTATTACGCATACACGCAACATTAATTAGTGATTCTGAAAGCAGTGGACTACGCTTCATCTGAATGCACAGCCAGACTGGTCGTATAGGTCAAATACTAACTTTAAGAGAGCCAAAGAAGCGTGTAATATATTGAATAGAAATCACTGTAAGTATATAACATAACTGACAGGAAACAAAACGATTAACAGCCGTAGTTGGAGGTCACAAAAAAAAAGAGAAAAGATACATACAGCTCTATATTCTGTGATCACTGACTATTGATTTCACCATATTCACAGTTTTTAAAATGCCATACAAGCCACAACACAATAACAATCCAACAGCCTCCATACACTCTGAGTTGATTCAATTTGCGCCTGAAAATTATTATAATTATTAAAGTGATCATCTCCAGAGTTCCTCCACATGCAGCCTGGTTGTATTACCCAGATTTCTCTTTTGTTCTGAACAGTTTGTTACCTTCACTCAAGCAGATTGTAAACATGTCGCTTCAATCTGGAGAATTTCCAAAGGTTGTAAACTGCAGTTAACATGCGACTCGTAAGAAAGAGTCTGGATGCCAGAGAACTTAACAATTGATTTAATCTCAGATCGGCCATTTTTAGTAAATATTTCTCTGAATTAACAACTAATTTGTTACATTCTAATCTGAATTTAAGACGCCACCACGGCACTGAAACAGCTCTTCTCAAAGTGACAATTGACATCCGGCTGAATACGCAGGAAAAGTCTCAGTCTTAATCCTGTTAGATCTGAGTGCTGCTTTTTGTCACGTCGGCCATGAGATCCTTATACAGAGACTGGAGGACTGGGTGAGTTGGTTAAAGTCTTAAAACAAATAGTACTGTGTTGAGATTGGAAGCTGTGTTTCAGATCATAACGCCCTATTCTGTGGAGTGCCCCAGGGGTCAATCCTTGGACCTCTTCTCTACATATGCAATATGCAGTAAAACGTATCCTATAACAACTACGCAGACGACACTCAGATTTATGTCTCACTGACTGCAGGAAAACATGGACCAGAGGACTCACCCCTTCACATAATCCAACAGATCAGTAAGTAGATGCAAAACAAATTTCTTCAGCTAAACTCCACTCAGCCCCAGTCTCTCCTTCTCTAAATCCTATAGATCAGGACTTGATTTTATCCTCCACATTAAATCAGTAACATAAGCATTTTATCATCTACAAACCTTGCCAAAAAAAATCAACATTATTGTTCTGTGATGGTAATGTTTCCTTGTTGTGTTTCCCTGAGTATGTATTGTGTTCTAAAACAATCTTCCTTTCAATGTTAGCTTGCTAGCCAAAGCCATCCCACTGTGGGCCCGGGATAGTTAAGTCTCTAATATGGTCCTAATAAGTCTTGGGATCGGACATGTTTTGGTATGTAGACACAGACACTCTACTCAGAAAGCCCCCCATCCCAAAATAATGTGTACCAATTAGGGCTGCACGATATATCGAAAAAATATTGTCAGTGCAATATCCATATCGAAAATATGCGTGATTTAAAAATATTTATATTTTTTTATTTATTTTTACATTTGTTTTTTTTCCTTTATTAAAGACAACAAAACAGACAGACACATCAACATTCAAAAAATACAACAAACAAACAAAAAACTTAACAGAAATTAGAACAGGGAGCTTCTGGTATCCAGCAAAAAGATGGTGCTCATGGAAGGAGGCAATAGAACGTGCAGAGAAAAATCAGGTCCAGGCACTCATCATTTGCAAAAGTAGATGGCTTTATTTATGGGCCAGAAACATTAAAAAGCACACCAACGCGTGTCGGCTTGCGCCTTCGTCAGGGTGTGTCTGACGAAGGCGCAAGCCGACACGCGTTGGTGTGCTTTTTAATGTTTCTGGCCCATAAATAAAGCCATCTACTTTAGCAAATGATGAGTGCCTGGACCTGATTTTTCTCTAAACAAACAAAAAAGTATATAAATTTATGCATTTCATTAATGTTTTTGTTATTTGTCTCTTGCGTTTCAATGCAGATTGCAATTTTAGGTGAAAGAAAAAACTATCGCAATGATATAGTCTCTAATTTCCAATATTGTGCAGCCCTAGTACCAATCCCTTTCAGTACCTGGCTTTTGTTATAGTACCAGCATCATGGTGGCCCTGGCTCGCGTCACTGCTCAGTCTGTCCTGGGACCAGAGTAGTTTTGTCTCGCTACATTCGTTCTCTTATTACGCTAAATTCATTGGGCTCCTTTGGGTGCTGCAGAGTAAAAACGTTTTATTAAGTTTGACATGTAAGAATGAAGCTTATTAGCCCTCCTTCCCTTATGAGACGCAGCTGCTTTCTGCATTTTTTATCATGTCGGCAGAGGAGCACCAGCAGCCGAGATGTGGTTTAGGGACTTAACAAGGATCTGCTCTCATCTGGATATATAAGCAGTAACTATTGCTAACTACATGTCGGAGTGGAGGGGAAGACCACCTGTTCAATTGCTTTTTAATAGCACAATACATGACATCGCCAAGTGCATTAGGCAGTAATGATGCCGTCCTTTATGAGCATGTGAAAATCGTCCTCTTTCCGTTGTATAATGAATCAATGCGAGAGCGTAAGTATGAGCTGTGTTGTCTAAAAAAACTTTTGAAGGAAATAGACTGTTTAAATACACACAAATCTTACAACAGAACATGTTGAACAGAGCATTTATACAATTTGAAATGTTCTTGCACCTTGGGACAGAATGTATTCACTTTTGCAAATCCATTTGGGGTTGTCACACTGCAAAAAATGATAAAATATGAGGACATTTTTTGAA